TTGATGATAATTAATGCTGGAACGTTCAAGTTACTTCGTAAGGAGACTCTCAAGGACAGGGGAGCGTGAGGACACAGAGACTATTCCCAGACCCCCATCCCTCACCTCAGCAGACCGGGTCTCTCTCCCCATCTCCACTCCACGGCAACCCTTCCTCTCGCGTGCGGACCTGAGCTTGTCACCATGGAAACACGAGGAAAAAAATAAAAAATAAATGTACTGCCAGATTAGAAGAAAGATTGACAAAAAAAAAAAAAAAAAAATCGCATGTTCCTCCTAGATTGTATTAAACTGGCTGCATTTCACCAAAAACAGTTCCACATACAACTGGGACACTACACCAGTCTAGTCAGGCAATTTCTAGATGTTTATTACTCTTTCTACGAAACGTAGTTAGAGTATTGACACATTTCGGTCATCAGGCAACTTGTGATTTTAATGGCCTTTGCAAAGACTTCTTCCGACTGTTGGATTTGAAGCATGATGGGGCAGAGCAACATTTACAACATCAGATCTGGGAATGCCTCAGCGTGTCTGACGCAATATATCTGTATATGCCAGGGCCAGCCAGAGACAAGACTGTCACTCTCAACAATATGGAAAAAAAAAATGCACCTGAATCCCAGGGGGATGCAGAAGAGATGCAGTTAGACTGACAGATCAAACGCACCTTGTTCGCAAGTGAAAAAAATGCCAAATAAAGATGCATTCCGACTTTCTCTGCATGTTATAATTCATGGTAGAATTTATAATGAATTTGCTGCCTATTTGTTTCACTGGTCTATAACGATGCCCCTCATGTTATCTTTTGGCGAGGCAATCCTTAAGAGGACGCCCCTCAAAGACTCCGGGGACTAACCTTGTTGTCATACACCACCCCCTTCCATCAGGCGTTTGCAGTTCTATGTAACGAAATAAATGCACATAAATGTCCTTTTATGGTTCCCCCCTCTTAAACAGAGGATTAAATGCACCTTAATTTGCATGGTGTCTTGAGTATTAGCTGCCGCCCAGAACTGTCAGAAGATAATTCAATTCGCGCAGCGCTGCGATAACTTTAAACAGCGTAAATCTCGGGATAAGGTCAATGGCTGTAAATTTCTCAGCGTCCGCTAATTTATTCCAATCCTCCACGTGCTGGCTTACCGGGGAACCGCCAGTTCAAGTGCGAGTCGACCCTCCCTGCGGTTAGTTTTTACACGGCTTTACAGCATGATTGATCAGCACGGGAATAAAATGACCTATATCAAGCAATGGATCAAAGGAGATAGAGGGATTCCTCGGACATTAGATGGTGTTTTTTTTTTTTTTTGGGGGGGGGGGGGTTGGTTATACATAGGCAGCCAAGAAGCCGAACGAAACAGAAATGAATGGGTTCATTTAAATGAGCATTATTAACCTTTGTCAGAGTCCAGAGAAATCCACTGGGTTCTGAGGAGAATTCATGTAAACCTGGCAAGAAAGGCCCCCAGCGCCACACACCCATGAAACTTTATTTCCTCTATCCCCCAATTATCCGATCATTCTCTATTAAAGCGCACATTTTAAATGCAAATGAAGGCCCTTTAAAATATGTTTCCCTTTTCATTTCCTCGCCTTTATATTCCAGCATGGACGGCCCCCAACAGGAAGTTACGGAGACACATCTCTAGGTCACCCAGACCGCCTTAATTGTCCAGCACCTTTTATAGCGTCCCCAGGGCCGCCAAGCTGCACGGCAATGCCTTTTGGTCTGAAAGGTCTGCCTGTCGCTCCAGACCTCTTGGATTATTGTGACAGAAACTGGATCAAGTCCAATTAAACTGGTGTTAAATATGATGATAGCCTATTGCTTTGTTCTCCAAATGCTGCAGATGAAACATAAAAAAGTAGGTAAACAGCAAATACAAAACAAACACAAAAACAAGGCACCTTAAGAAAAATATATTACCAGAATTTTGCTTAACACCGCTGCCCATATCAAACCTGTTTTTGCCATCTATTCACAAAGCCATATGCAGTAGCTCCCCCTAGGGGTGTATTGGCAAAATGAAGGATGTGACTCGATTGCACTTGTGTTTGTTGGGTGTCTTTGGGGGACAAAAGCAGCACACGTGGATCGATAGTAACCATTTACCATATCTTTAGTGGGTGTTTCCGGGTTGCTGCTAGGAATTACGGCTCCCTGACAATGATCTTGGTCCTTTTTCTGACCTCCCAGCTGCTGCATCAGTGTTAACCTTAGAAACTCTGCCAAATATTTATGAATTCTGGGATATTCATTTATGGAATTCCTTCTTCCTTACATTTCACAGATGTTTTCTTAGGCTTCTTAATTAAAAACTCTAGTTAATTATTCCATTTGGAGTGACTTCATGACATAGAAATTGCTACAATATTGGGCTATCAATTATTACATCTGCAGTGGTGTAAATTGTTAACTGGTGATGTACTGAATTTCCTAGTTTTCAACTATTTTCTTATGAATGCTTGATTAGTGAAGTTATATATTTACCTGAATATTGAATAGTCTGAAACACAGTAAATGTCATTAATGCTTTTTGTATTTATGAGTAATTATTGTTTCTCTTCTCATTAATTCTGGGCTGATCACAAGTCATCGTTAACTAACTGAATCCTAATGTCTCGGATGGGGGGACTCAATTTTCGAGTGGGTCACAGTCGTGTCTCCCTCTTTTCGGAGCACAGTGCCCCCAGTGAGGGAAATCTGCATCAATACTCTTCTGGAGTTTCAATCCATCTACCAGATCCTCCACTGCAAAAATACATATTTGGCCAATCAGTGTATGAATGAGATGCCTATGAGTAGGAATAGCATGTTCAACTGAAGATACCAATATTCAAGAAAAAAAACTAATAATTTAAAAGCAACCACAATAAATTAAGGTAGAGAGAGAAGAATGAAAGCAAGTCTCAGCCAGCAAGCTAAGCATTCCTCACGATTCTCCAGTCAGGAGACGCTCTTCTTGTAGCCGCTCGGTAGCTAGCTAAGAGACAGTTGTGTTGCTCAGACACTTGTCGTTGACCTGGGATCCTCAGTAAAGTGCTATTTGATTTATTTCTATGGCAATTGCTAAGCCATCAGCTGTCCCGGGACCAGCTATGCTTCAAGCAAAGCCAGGAGCTGCTTCCCTAAACCAGACTCTTATGTCCTAGGGTGAACACGTTGTGAAAAATAAAATGTCACCAAGTTAAAAAGCGCTGAGGCAGCTGCCTTGGCAGGCGAGCGTAGCGTACTAGCTATCAGCGGCTTGCAGTGCGACGCTAATCCCTTACATTGAGCCGCCTTTCAATTTACGTGCCGCCTCAATCTTTCTGCCCATGATTTAGCTCTGGGTCGGGACTTAACAGGGCCACTAAAATGTGACCTTTCTGCATGAAGTATTAAATTAACAAAGCGTTTTATTTGATTGCCGTAACTTGTATTTTATTTTTTGCGCGTTGCCAAAATACTTTTTTGTTTATGTGCATTTGGATTTCTCTATTCACAAATTTTTACTCACCATGCCACATTTATCAGCTACACAGAAAATATAAAGTGATTGAAAATGTAATGTTTCTATCTGGGTAAGAATTTTACAGTTCCTTCACCAATTTTTCAAAAGTTAGCACTCTCCGTCACAGATTCACATAAATAACACATGGTATAAATAAAGTATATAATAGTAACAAGAGAAAGTTATTTATATACCAATAGCTGGGGTCCTCAAAGAGCCTTTAATCATTCCAGGGAGATGAGATCAATGTGTAATTTGAAAAGGGAATGGGGAAGAGATGACATGGTAATTATTATTGATCATTTCCGTGCACATTTTCCCAAAAGGTCTGCAGGACTAAATGTTTGCATTTATTAATTTAATTTACTCAGGAGGCTCCAGCCCAAGACAGCAGTGCTGGGTTAAAACAACAAGTGCCAACAAGCAGGGTTGCCTGATAAATGCTCTATAAACATGGATGAATGGGTTAAGTAGCAGGGGGGAATTGATGGAGTTATGGCTCAAACAGAAACGCCCCACTTAATACGGGCCAGAACAAGTCAAAACAACAGCATGTGTTATGTTAGGAGACTGAAACCATCACGTTTAGTTAGCAGCAACGTTAGTCCACAGCAGCATACAAGTGAGCATCAGAGAGCAGGGTCAGGCAGAATCCCTGGAGCAGCTGAGGTTGAGAGCTTTGCTCAAGGACCCATTACAAAACCACTCTGCCAGCTGCGAGAACCGCCAACCTACCGACGAACGGCACATAGTATTAACCCACTGAGCAGCTCTAAATAATAATGGTGCATGTTTCCATGCACAGCTGAGTAAGGGTTATGTACATTCCTGCAAGATGGAACACTGCTTCCCTCTGCTGGCCTTTTGGGATACACTGGAGGATATCTGGATATATACCTAATCACTAGCACCATCAGCTTACACAGAGTAGCCTTAACATTAAAACCACAGACAGGTGAGTGAATAACATTGATTATCTTGTTACATTGGCACCTGTCAGTATCAGGGTGTAATGATACATTAAGCAAGTAAACAGTTCTTGAACATTACTCGATGGTACATGAGAGAGCTGCGGTAGCACAAATTGTTGAAAAAGTCAATGCTGTCTATGACAGAAAGGTGTCAGAATGCACAGTGCATGGCAGCTTGCTGGATATGAGGATGTGTAGCAGAGCAGTCAGAGTGCCGATGCTGACCTCATGGGCAGGTGGGCCTCAGAATTGCATCAGGGGTAGGGAACCCTGTTCCAGGAGTGCCGGAATCCAGCGGGTTTTCTATCCTACCCGGTCTCTGATGAGCCACATGTAATCTCAGGCAGATAGTAACTCATCAAGTAGGATAGAAAATCTGTTGGATGCTGGCATTCAAGGAACGGGGTTGCCAACACCTGCACTATGGGAAGAAAGCAAGTCAGCAGAGACTGTGATGCTCTGGACAATAATCTGCTGAGAAACCTTGGGTTCTGGTATTCATGTGGATGTTACTTTGACATGTACCACTTACCTAAACATTGCTGTAGATGGAGTACAACCCATCATGGGAATGGTATTTTCCGATGGCAGTCGCCTCTTTCAGCAGGATAATGTACCTTGCCATACTGTTCTTGAATGGTTTGAGGAACATAAAAAAACAAAAAAAAAAGTTAAGTGTGTTGATTTGGTCTCCAAACACCTAAGATGTCAATCCGATTGTCCATCACATCCCACAGATGCTCAAACAAGTTCAATCCACGGACACCCCACCCCATAGCTTACAAGATGCAAAGGATCTGCTGCTAACGTCTTGGTGCCAGATACCGCAGCACACCTTCAGATGTCTCATGGAATCCATGCCTTGATTGTTCAGATCCGTTTTGGTGGCATGAGGGGACCCACACAATATTAGGCAGGTGGTGTTAATGTTATGGCTGATCGGTGTATATTTAAGTTATTTCGTGTGCTAGAGGGTAGATGTCTGTTCAGATGTGAAAATGCTGCGGTGCAAAGCTGCATGTGGCTGAAAGCCCAGGTCAGATCTAGCGCTTCACTTCCTGCTCCCCATTTCAGTTGACTCACAACCCAGGATCCATCACAGTAAAGTGAACTGCTTGTGAAGTAAGACATGTTAAAAAGGGTTGTCTGGAACCTGGAACCCCTCCCAGGAAGCACAGGGTTTGAAGTCGTGTTTTAGAGCCGTTTAATTAGGGTGACCATACAATCCATGTCAGGGAGGGCACTTTGAGTTACTTCAAGGTTTTAAAACTACTTTTAACTAGTTTGGTTCTTCTAGCGCTTTGACAAGTTCGTTTCCTTGATTGAAAGACTCACCCAGATGTTTCATATTAATATAAGTGATGCATGCATGATTATAGGAGACTGACCAATTGGTAGACAGCAAAAACTCAGTGCTTAAGTGAAATCCAGGTCTTTTTAACTGAAATGGTAGTTTACTAATCCTGTCCTAGCTCAAATTGTCCTCCTAGAAATGGATTATCTGGTCAACCTAGTTTAAAGCGTTTTTTTAAATGGTTTCACGCTATCTTTATATTTGCAAACTGCCCTTTTGAGAAACGTGAGAATGGTAGCTTATTCTTTAAACTGGCAAGCAAAAAAGAAAACTACAGTAGCAGGACTTTTACAGAAACCGGTTCCACAAAAATAAACGTGCTCAGATGACCAAGTCAAGCACAACTTTATCACGCCTTTATAAACCTAATACCGATAGTAGCCTATCTAGCTATACTAAGTCAGCCATGCCTTATAAGAAACATGTTCATTCCCAAATAACGACAGCAAAACTTTATGGCAACTCAATTAAAACTTGGCCAAAGGTTATTTGAATTATTTAAATAAGCCCTCAAGCATGGAACGCCGCGTAAATGTGCTAGTAAATCTGGAGACGGTCCAGAGAAACAAACGGCTCTTAGCTCGCCTTTACTGTCGGTTTCTCTGCTTCATTGCCCTGTACTTATCTGTTATTATGGTTTACGGGAGGCACATATTACACTACCTACAAATGACAATAAAAGAAGCGTTAACTCATTTAAATGTCAGTGTGAAAGGCTGCACAGAGCCCGCACAAGACGGTCTGGTACCAGTCGAACCGAGAATGGGTCAAAGGGAGTATATGTACCTCAGGTGAGAGAAAGGTGACACTGGACGACTCACACACAGACTCGAAGGTGGCTTTGCAGTCATCTCACTGTTACGCTCACAAAGCTCCATGTGCAGAAATAGAATAATTCTGCGGCTGCAAAAGTTTTCTGTACGCCTCGACAACGGACTGACCACCGACCTTACGCTGCCAAAGCGCGGCAGCCAACCCCCGTTGCCGTCCTTCAGCCGCGCAGCCAATGGGAAGAGAGGATTCAAGGCGATTGGGGCGGAGCCTGGGCTCAGGTGTCTGCGCCTGCGCGGACGGGGTGGAGCGCTGAAATTGGCGTTGATGTGGTGTTTTGTAACACCTCTTAAATGTTGCAGTCGTCCGATCATGCATAGACAAACTAACATTTTACTGTGGAAACTTCGATATTTAAAGTGAGTACCTCCATAATGAGCCGCCAATCAGGATTAACCTTTAATAATAATCAGCAGCAGCATGATAGCACTTGTTAAATTGCAGTAACAAGCTGCCTACATAATCTGTCAACCTGTAATTAGCGCGTAATATTTTTAAAATAATTTTTAAATAATTTAATATGGAAGGAAAGTTATTTTGCAGAGTTCTCCTGAGCTGTTGACATTGTGTGCTTAGTATTAAGGTACAGAAATCATGGAGACACCACAGTACATCTGTGACGGAGAAGGCTCTGTCTTATAAGGCTGGACAAAGCATACATGGCTTTAGAGTGAGGCAGGTAAGTCTGATAATCTAACGTCTTAAACCACACGTGGTGCCTGTAACTCTGTCTCTTTTATTCAGTATTCAGATAACTTTATCTATCCCTGAAGGGCAATTCAGTTCCACAATCTACCCAGTCCATATAAATATCTCAGTACAGAACATTCAGGGCTATATTCTGATTCTCCAATTCAGGTCACACCTGTTCCTGATCTGTGTCTCACGGCTGTGCAGCTGAGCCACAATGTCACCGGAGCTGAGGTCCTGCACCTAGCCCGAGATGACTCCAATAACCTCTTCAGGTATGAAGGCCATGTTCAGAGTACAGCTATTCATTTAGTTTTTGAAACATCTTGTGGGAGGCAGAAACCTCCCCAATGCCTCAGGGAGCCGCCCTTTGTGGCATGACGACAGGTGGCGCCTGTGTGTGGCGTGTCCAGCTGCATCATGTGTGTCCGGCGTCTGTTCCGCACAGCGTTCAATTCCGCACGACGCCGAGGGACAGCACCGGGGTGCCGCACGTCCTGGAGCACACAGTGCTCTGCGGCTCGCACAAGTATCCCTGCCGAGACCCCTTCTTCAGGATGATGAGCCACTCCCTGGCCACCTTCATGAATGCCTTCACAGGTCCTGCGACAGACACGCCACAACTTAGAATGTGGCAAGCTGCATTGCTGAATGCTAATTTTTAAAAATCTTACACTGTTACGCTTAATGCTCCTAAATGCAATATTTGATTGCATTACTTAGTTAACTATTCAGCAAAACAGTACAGACTGTCCCTGACTTGCCACCTATGCGACACACAATGACTTGCACATGTGAACAAAGACTGCCTTTTTGAAAAATGAAAAGAAAATGAAGTAAGCGTATGTAGAAATAAATTCAGGCGGCTGTACGCTTGGCAGCGATATATCACCTATTGCGTGCTGCTTGTTAACTGCTGCGGTGACATATTAACTGGTAGTGCAGCCTTCCTGGTCTCACATACATATTCCAGTTTCATCCTCACACCAAAAAGTCAGTGAGATTATCCAAATTCTGACATATGTCAGTTTCAATGTATGTCTGTCAGAATGCAACAGAGTTGTAAGTTGGGGACAGTCTATAAAGATATTCTGTTCTATTCTATTTTTATATCTTACAAAATTTTCTGTATTGTTGCCTTTGTGTACTGTTATTTCAGCAAGTGATTACACTATATATCCATTTTCCACGCAAAACGGGAAAGATTTCCAGAATCTCCTCTCCGTTTATTTGGATGCCGTGTTTTTCCCAAGCCTCCATGAGTTGGATTTTTGGTAAGTCTGCTACTGGGGCAGCCTGCGTGGCCAATGGCTGCACCTCGCTTCATGCTCTGAGGCCGGGGACCAATAGGAGGGGTCCATGCCATGAGGAGCCTCAATTTAGTGGCTTTTTCTGTTCGTACAGGCAGGAGGGATGGAGGCTGGAGAGTGAGAATCCCACCGATCCAGATTCTCCGCTGGTGTTTAAAGGCGTCGTCTTCAATGAAATGAAGGGGGCTTTTGTAAGTCACAGTGAAGAATAAAAACATGTAATAATAAAAACAATCAAACAAATAAAACGATAATTGCCTTGCAAAACTGGAAGTGTGCATGTTTTTGTAGGAATATGTTATTAAAACTTAATTCTATAATTTGTTGTGATGTTTAATTACCCAAATCGGTTTTTCTCAACCCAGTCCTTGGGGACCTAAATGATCTTACTGAATAATATGAATTAAACAACAAACTCACGGGTTAGGCTGTGCTGGGGTTATTTTGCAGCAGGAGTTTCACCAGCCTTACCTAGCTCACCCTTTCAGGCTCACAGCGAGAGTCTCTTCGCTCAGCACCTCCAGAACAAGCTCCTCCCAGCCCACACCTACTCAGTGGTCTCGGCTGGAGATCCCTTATCCATACCCGACCTCTCCTGGGAGCAGCTGAGGTGGTTCCACACCAGACACTATCACCCTAGCAACGCGAGGTATTGCCCAGAACCATCGGGCCAGAACTATCACACCAACCACAAGAGCATCTGTAAAAAAGGCAGATTCTTCTGTAGCTGGACCACTTGCTCTCAGATGGTTATTTCGTTACTTGCTATAATCAAGATCTTTGTCTATGGGAAAAAGTGCATGTTAGTATATACAGAAACTTTGGTGCTTTTTCAGGTTCTTCACTTATGGTGACCTACCTCTCGAGCAGCATCTGAAGCAGATCGAGGAGCAGGCGCTATCCAGGTTTGATCGCATCGACCCCGACACTGCTGTGCCCCCGCAACCCCGCTGGCAATGTCCTGTGAGTTTGTCGTGGGTGGATCAGGAAGGAGACTTCCTTTAAACAGAAAACAGAGAATGGTCATTCAATCACGTTATATCAATAAGTGCTGCTTCAGTTACCGTGGGAACAATAAATGTGACTTTTGTTTGTGAATGAACTTTGACAGTACTGCTCATAATTGTAGCCATGGAGACTACCCTAGTAAACCCTGACCCCGTCTTTTTGCGCTTCCAGAGGGAGTACCACATAAGGTGTGGCTCCAACCCTTTGGCCCCGGAACCTTCTAAGCAGAGTTGCCTGACTGTGAGCTACCTTCTCGGAGAGTGCGTACCATTTTGTGGTCACCCACTGTCAGATACACCAAACTAGCAATGTTTTGTCACATCTTTTTTCACATTACAGTAATAAGCAAGCGTTGGTGACACTGCTGAAATCTTTGCCCAGCGTCACAGATACGTTTGAATCCTTCACACTGAACCTTCTGTCCTCGCTGATGGTAACTGGACCCAACTCGCCATTTTACAAGGCGCTGATTGAACCCAAGCTCGGAAGTGCCTTCTCCTCCATCACGGGGTGGGTTTGAATTGTTTTTATTCATTCCCAGTGATGAGGATGTGCAAAAACATCCACATGTTTCTCCAACAGTTTAATCACTGCTGTCGTCTTGTTTATTTTCAGATACGATGGAAGTAAAAGGGAAACATCATTCTCCATTGGCTTACAGGGAATATCTGAGAAAGACATGGAGAGAATTAAAAGTATCATCCTCCAAACCATAGACCACGTTGAAGCGTAAGAATCGTCATTATCATAATGGCAGCAACAGAAATTTCAAAATGACAGGTCATTAGTCCCAATATATAAAGGTTGTTGTCGACTTATGACCGCGATCAGTTCCGACTAGCCGGTCGTAAGTCAATTTGGTCATAAATCGGCCCTTTATAATATATGGAAAATGATCATATGTATAGTATATCGTGTAGTGAAGTTAATGATCTTTACGTCATAATGTTTGGTTTTTTTTAACCTTATTATCATATCATATATCATTTTCTAAGTTCATTGCTGCTCGCTGTTGGGGCAGAAACTGTCATACACTCACACTGGGCAGCACTCCTGCCCAGCGCAGTCATGGCCATTGGTATCTTCGGTCTCGCAACGTTCGTAAAGTCAATCAGTCATAAGTCGCATACAGTAGGTCGTAAGTCGACGATGACCTGTATATATACTCCAGATACATAAATAGAGTATGGCGAAGGTATTCTTCACCAATATATACTCTCTCTCTCTCTCTCTCTCTCTCTCTCTCTTTAATATGAATAATAAACCTTTAATACATTTAATTATAATAATATTGTTATGCCAAGCGGGGACAGAACAGAGATAAAGGCGCAGATGTCAGAGTATCGGGGAATACAGGGTGTAATTACAGGTAAGGCAGGCAAAACGCAGACGGACAATACAATGACCGGACTGGGGAAACAAACTGAAACGTGGACAAAATACAGAGGGCTAATGAAAACAACCAGAAACAGCTGATCACACGGGGTTAACGTGGGGGCGTGGCACACGGAAGGAGCAGACAATCGGGGCAGGACACATTGTTTTTTTTAACTTTACACATTGTTTTTTTTAACTTTACACATTGTTTGGATACATTTATTTTCTTACTTTATAAATTACTGTTTTGATAAATGTCCTTAGATGTGTTCACTACAGTATATGCTCTTTTTGATTTATCCGGTTCATTTTGTGTTTAAATGCTAAAAAAACATATGTAGGTGTAATTTTTTGGGGCCGGGAACCAATTTATTGGTTTTCCATTATTTCTTATGGGGAAAATTCGATCAGAACCCGAACTTTTTAGGATTCGATCCGGAGTTCTGAACGGATTAAGTTTGAGTTCTGAGGTATCACTGTACAGTACTGTGCAAAAGTCTTAGGCAGTCCAAATAAATGCTTAAAGCTGTTTATCTGGGTGGCAAGTGTACTTTGGCTTAGAACAAAAACACAATTTAACATTAGAACATGTGCAAATTAAGAGTAACACAATAAAAACTAGTAATCATTTCTTCTGTTTTCTAAAAAGTTACTGATATCTAGTTGAACTATATCTATCTAGATGAACACCGCTTCAGTTCCCAAAC